CAGTTAATCGTAAATATGACCTATTTTTCTGTTTAGGAAGAGTAAAGTTAAAAAAAAAAAAAAAGTAGATCGGGATCTGTAGTAAAGCTAAGAGACTACAGTGATTTCTATCCGTGGTTTCCACATTTAATTTGTTATGCGGATGGAGAAGACCAACCTCAAGCATCCTTTTAAAACTTGTTTAATTTGTTTTAACTTATACCCCAGCAATTATACAAGCTGTCTTGCTTTCCGTTAGCTTGAAACAGGCTGAATTGATTACGGCGTATCTTATAGACCATCATAGACAACAAGGTAATGAAATAGCTTTTGGCGAAAGGTACGTTTTGTTGCGACGACCGCGATGTCGGTGTGGTAGCCGACATCAGGCAAGTACGTTCTATTTTTGCCAGTAGCCTGCAGTCATTGTTTTCCAATGTATTGAAAATGAAAATCAGATCCTTCAAGAAATGTGTTAATCGCAGTGATAGTAAATAGTACGTTCTATTTTTGCCAGTAGCCTGCAGTCATTGTTTTCTAATGTAGTGAAAATGAAAATCAGATCCTTCAAGAAATGTGTTAATCGCAGTGATAGTAAAGGGTCATAAAAATAAAAAATTAACTATGAGAAGCGTAATTAAATGGACAGGATAAGTTCATTTGTTGTATCTCGTCACGTAAAATTGTGAACTTGCCAGTGACGCTTTATTGTTAGTTGGGTTGAACATCGGCGCCGAAAAAAAAAAATTGGGGGGGAAACACAAAAGAAAAAAAAAGTTCCTCCTCCACTGAAAAAACAATCAGTTCAATTATAACTTGCCAGAGTTCGCAGTGTTTGCCCACGGGAAGAAATCAGTACTGAATATTTTGGTTTGCAAGTGGTAACAATTACTAGATCAAGTATTTTCTCTAGGGCGCAAGTTTCAAAAGTTTTCGTTTTAAGAGATCAGGTCAACTCGTAGACAATATAAAGCCCGAGGCGAACAGCTGAAAAAAAAGGCAAGCGACACTGATATGATTAAGCTGTACAATATTTTTACATAAAGTTACTCCTGACGCCGATGTTCGGACTTGTGAAACATCTGTCAGCAGCAACAACAATCCTAAAAATCCGCGTTGCCGTTATGAAATCTTACGGTGAAATGTGAATATCGGTTCTTCTTGACTTTTTAACATTTGTTGAAACTTTCTTGAGGGCTATTGCGGGATAAAGGACTATGAATTACAGCTTAAGATAGCGAAAACATGATTATCAAATAACGCTTACAGTTGAACATGATTCCAAACATGATTTTGAATGTTATGTCCTGCTGAGAGAGGTTAAAAGATGTTTTTGGGAGGAATCATGTTTTTGTTTACGTTCGTGTTCCCAATGACTTTTCCCGTATATAAAATTCAAGAATCGATATCATATCTTAATTAAAAGTGAGTTTTTATTATCTCAGAACAGTAAACGGTACTTGGGACTAGATAGAAGACAGTGTGGGAGGACGTGGATATAAAATATTTATTTAATCCTTCCGTTTTTAGCGCATTCTAGCAAAAATTTTGACGAGTAGTTAAGTTTTTTTAATTAACAAAGCTTAGAGTAAAATAAATAAGGACGGGTAACTTAGAACCTTCCTTTTCGGGGTAGCTGTATATCTGTTTAGAATGTACAAAAACACACTTTCTCCTTATGTTAAGAACTGATTAATACTTTCAAAGGTTCAATGATCCTTCCGTAATAGATTGTAAATCACTAGTGACAGGCTAGTCAGTTTTTTCATGTATCTATCGATCCGTAAGAAGGACGAGCTAGTTACCCAGTCTCAGGTAGTGAACTGACAAAAGTTGCGAAATGTCTTTCTTGCAAATTAACGTTGACCGAAACTTTGTTTTTAAACTTCTTTACAACGTCAACATCATTGCAATTACATTGTAATATCCGTCGTTATAAAATATAATGAAAATTATAAACCAGTTCAGTTCAGCCAGCAGTTTTTTGTTGTCTCGGCTACCTTCAGCTATAGAAAAGACAATTTCATCTGGCGCACTATCGGGTAAGTAGCGAACACAACATAACTGACGTATATCTCAAGTCTAATGTTTTTGTCTCAAGAAAGTTCGATTTTGTTCTATTTTGCTTGCGTGCATGTTTTTGTTTTTTCCTTGTTTTTCTTGTAATTTTAAACAATACAAGTCAATCAGCACTGAAACAATTTAGGAAGAGATTTTCCCGGAGACCTGTTTTAAACAATTCATTTGGGAAATGGTTCTAAGACAAAAAGTTCATTCGATTGTTTAGAAAGACAAATTACTTGACAAATGCTACAATACTATATGGAATTTTATTTCCAGGTATTCTTTCAAAAATTAATAGAATACCACCAGCGGAAAATTTGCACTTATGGGAATGATATATTCCTGATGACATTTACAGGAACTTAAAATAATGAACGCGCCCCAGAAAATCACAGCTTTCGTTGTCACTTTTATGTTAAGAAAGGGTAAGCTGTTTTTTGTTGATTATTAAAAACATCAAATATCATTTTCCCCTGTAGCTGGAATGGAAATTTTTCAAAGACCGGCAATTGAGAAATATATCTCCAGTTCTATAATTAAGATCTTAGCCGATGTAAGCGTTTTTTGGAAAGCAATTGTATTGTACCTCGCTGTTAATGATTAAGTAATGGTGTCTCAGAGGATGTTAATATTCTGCGGAGTCCTTCATTGAACTGATGCACTGATGGATAGCAGCAAATTAAAGCTGACTACACAGCGCACGAAACAACAATCATGAAACACTACACTACAGATTTTCCATGTCTAAAGGACCAGTAATGCGTTTTTTGGTTTTTTAATTGTCTCAGAGGATGTTAATATTCATATTTTCCTTTCCTTGAATGCACTGAGGATAGCAGCAAATGAGCGCACGAAACAACAATCATGAAACACTACACTACAGATTTTCCATGTCTAAAGGACCAGTAATGCGTTTTTTGGTTTTTTTTAATTCCTAGTTATAGAGCAAGGGCGAACTTTGCTTGTAATACTAATTGGTTTGCACTGGAGTTAGTCATACTGAGCAAAAAGAAAAAAATCCACTGCATCATCTCCGAACACACAAATGAAACTTAAGAGGATATCCCAAAGACATCGAACAATACTGTGTTTGAATCGGTCCTCATTACCAAAATGATCAGTTCGCACTATGAAATGTCATGTTATATTTATTACATGTAACTCTAAATTTAAATTTTTTGTCAGAAATGATTCGAATAATTTTTCTATGGAGACGTAGTTCCAGCCTTCTGAGGCTATACATCAGCTTTATTGCTACAGCTCTGGTGGCTACCGCACTTATCATGAAATTACTGCGAGTGACCGTTAATTTTACATGCTGACAATAGATGCTCTCAATTAAGGTATTTTTTTTTTAGAAAGAACTGCTTTAAAAAGGGTTTTACCTACCATTTGTACTCTTGTCCTCTTCTGAAGAACAAGGAAAATAGCGTTTCCAGGAAGAGAAGAGCATCAAAAAAGCCAAGATACCACATATCCTTCCTGAGGGTCACCTGAACGACCCACCAAACAGACACCATAATGTGACTGGCAAATATAAGTCTGGTTAATAAGGCTTTTACAATGTATGACGGAGAAGACATTGGCTTTTAGTATACTGTTCATTAATCCTTTTTGATTCACCAGACTCTTGGACGAGAGATCCTAGAGGGCAGTACAGTTTCTTCGCATTCAAGTTCGACCCCTGATCGAATTCGCTTTTTACATGATGATATTAGCAAGTTTTCGGATCCGTCTTTTTTGGCTGAATCATGAAGTTTTAAGACGCCTTTTTTATGTCTGGTTATAGCCCCAGGGCAAGCTGTCTTATGTAGCTCTTACAGCTGAGATTCAAATTGACATTTGCGTCGCTAACCTCTTCTGCAGAGACTATACACAAAAGAGTAAACTTCTTTTATTTGACACATCATCTTTGAATCAGAATTGGCTACTAGTGAATTGAATGAATGGGTCATTATACTCTGTCGTGTCATATTGATAAAGCTCCTGTAATCTTACTGGATGGCATAGTTGATCAAAGTAGCATCTCGGAAATAATACGGCGCATTTGGCAGGATTAAAATAAAATAAATTACAATCCATTTCTCTATTGTTATATTCAGTAGAAACAGTAGGCGCAAATTAAAACACAGGAAATCGTCAGTGACTCCTGAAGAGTCGCCACAGGGACTATGGAGAAGTTAAATACATCATGTTGAAAACTTTTAAGTCGGGTTATAGAACGCGTTTAATAATTCAACTGATAACACAATCTATATTTTCCTTTAATTTATTGCCTTTGCTCCGGAGTTCGCCTGATAGGAGATAATAATTATTATTTGCGTTCATTATAAACAAAGAATCAAAAGGGACTTCATTAGAAAACGGTCGGCTTACTGAAGCCGATCCGCTGTGATTGGTTTTTCCTTTTAATGAAACGTTTTTGTGTACTCGTCCTTGAGAATTCAAAGATTGAGAAAGTAATCATTTCAAAGCTTTTTTGTAGAGATTTGAAGGAAAGAACAAACACTATGCATCACTTCCGAAGATAAAATGTAAATAAATTCAACTGTGCAAGACGTTCTTTTTGTTGTCGGTTCTGTGGCTTGTTTGCACAGCTTTTGCCTATCTATCTTACAGATAACTCAAATGACCAGAGATATATAAGTAAAATTCCTGCTGCTTTTTTTTGGAACGAAAGTAATCGTTATTTTGCCAGAGTCGGATTCGTTATCATAAAGTCCTCAACAAAACTGAATATTTTAAAATCCCCTTTACTTGAATTGGTCACTTCTAACAAACCTTGGAAATATTACATTTTAAAAAGATTGGCACTCTGTTCGGCGCGACAATCAGCACCTGAAAATCAAGAAAAAACCATACTACAACCAATGATATTCTTTACACGAAAATATACGGAAAAGGTTTCCGATATAATGTACTTGTTATCATGTACACATTTTCCGAGTTCCGAGTTCCGCAGGCAACTCTTCGTTCTATAGTTTTTTTTTTTGGCAAAAGTTTTGCTTCTATTGAAACGAGACGAGACGGGGGAGGCTCATCGCAAAAGCCTGTAATTTCTACCCTTCAGTGGTGTTACAAAAACCTTAAGGATGAGGTTGACGCGAGACCGCGAAGAGCATCCCTGTCACTTTTTTATGGGAGTCCCTGGCCTCTGGGTTTTATATTGCTACTGTTAGTTTGGTGACCATTTAACTTGAGGGGGGTGGGTGATTTTGAAAAAAAAAGGCCCGGAAGAAAAAATTTTTGCTTATGGGATCCTTTTTAGAAAAAAAAAATTCTTGATGACCAGAAATAACAAGAGTTAAATGGTCGGCCCCTTAACTGAAAGCCCCGAGCCTCGCCTAACCGTTTTCAAAAGTTAAGCGTCACATATAGAATAGGTTCTGTTCCACGATTTGGTGCTGGTGTGAACCGGGCAGATTATCCGCACTGGTCAGTCTGGTATTCGGACCAGCTTTCAGGACGTCAAAAAGCAATAGGTTTATTACCCAGAACAACAATTCACGCTTTTTGACCGTCCTTGCACGGCTACGACGTGAAAATGCCTAATTGCAAGTTTTATGGAGGACGTAAACAAGGACGACGAATCTCTTTTTCTCTCTCTAAACTTGAGTGCGGTTCCCAAGGCTTCAGGGAAATTCGAACTTGCCATTTTCATTGGAATAAAGACGGAATGCTAAAAATAATAGGAACGAGGAGTACTGGAACCAATGAGACGGAAGAAAATATACTTAAATGTTTGGTCATGGAAAACGTTGGTCAAGGTCGGATCCCTTGAGAATCTTTGAGAGAAAATAAGAAATCCAGTGAGGAACAAATGAAGAGGAAAACAAGCATCAGATATAAGACAACTCACGAAGGAAATGGAGAAATTTCTGGGTTGAAAATGAAAGGTTTCGGAATGGAGCGAAATGGAGCTCAAGGAAATTTTCAAGTAGAAGATGAGAGCAAAAGGGATTTTAAGTTCCTCTGCAGGTTTCCTGTCAAGCATTTCTACTTTAGTTTAATAGCAGAAATACTTGGAAGAAAAGTTTAAGAACTCAAAAAGGAAATAGAACATTTTGGTTAAGAAATTGTCACATAAACTTCTTTTCTGTTTGCTAAACAAAAGAAGTGTGCGAAGCTAATTTAAAGATGACGAATAATAAATTAAATTAATTATTATTAAATTAAAGAATTTGGCAGATCGTAAAGGATGTTTGACCTAAGGATAAAACACCCTTCGATCGACACTTGCATAATTCTTCGATCGATACTTGCATAATTCTAATAATTTATTATTCATTTAAAATAATTCAAAACATACCGAAAGGGTCTTCTAATTTTGGTCAACGCGTGTTTGTTGTGAAGAATTAACTGGGGGATTTTTTAGCCAAAGTCAGACTGGAACGGAGAAATATTTTGAATGAAAAGTTAGCTCTAGGCAATGTTGACCATGACGTTGAGGACATTGCCAGTAGGGAAAAGAAACGAACTGCGTGACATGATCTTGTTCTTTCTAGTGTTATCTTCATTGAAAATGAAAAGAGAGAGCAAAGTCTTCTTTCGGAAGACCTTAATCTGCTGAGCAAGAACGAAGGAGAGATTAGAATTTCTGATCTAAACAGCGAAAACCAGAGACTGGGGAGCGAGTTTTCTACGTGGGAAATAGAGGTAAAAACGAAATTGAACCACAAAAGAAATGATATTGAAGAGCTGTGAGACAAGACTGAAATTAAAACTGTTAAAAAACAACAAGAGAATTGTATGAAGATCCTGCAGTTTTCTTTCCCATGTTGGGAAGGACAACAGGATGTCTCACCCAACTGCTTCGCCACAAATTCCGTCGTTAAGTTTTGGAGAAAGAACTGATTGAATGAGGAAAGTTTTAGGCATAGGCCCGGGGGGAGGAGGGTACTCGATATATCCTTGGGTGGGGAGGTACAGCTCGGCCCCTCATACCCTGACCCTGTTTAAGACAAAAATCGCTGATTTTCCCACTCTGTTAAGACAGAATTCCGATTTTTGATACCCAGTTTAAGACATCCGTAGAACACAAGCGCAGGCTCTTTATCGTCTAAAAACAGGGTTATGGGCTCCTGTCTAAGAAAAGATACCCTGTTTAAGACAAAATTGAGAAAAATACCTTGTTTAAGACAAACGTCCTCATTAAGCCCTTACCCTGGCTGGCCCCACGTCCTCATTAGGTCCCAGACTTAACTAGCTGTAGTTTGACCATATTTTAATATACTGATCATAATAGTTTTAAATGACAGGGTGGTGTCTCTAATATGTCCCACACGGACTTTTGTGTTCCCTTCGCTCTTAACCTCTTCAACCTATATAATACATTTCATTTATTTATCTATTACAATAGATAAAAATCTTGTTATTTTTATTTATTATTTTAGATTTATTTAAGCATTGCTCTGGACTGCTGTAGTTATATCCCCTTTAAAGCTGTTAGATTAAAGTATTTCTAAATGAGATGTATCCGAACTATTTTTGACAACATTAGGCCTTCACGGACCGATGGCTACGAATTTAGGCCCTCAATAGTCTTGTTCTTTTCTACTGCGTCTTGGATGTGGACCATTTCGCTTTTATACTGAAATCAATACTGAGTAGTCACCTTCTGGCTGACAAAATATAGGCATTTTTTATAGGAATAACGCATTTAAATATTCTACTTTAACGGAATTAGCCTGGCTAATAGGTACTCGGCTTGCTTTATTCCTGGTAACATATGTAAAGAGAGCTTAAAGTCAGCGTGTTGCACAGAAGTGATGGTAGAAATGACGTCAAAGTCTCCGGAATATCCCGCAATTCTCGACAAATAAAAGAAGAAGCAGGATCAACAAATTGAGCTAAAACTGGACCAAAAGCGTGAGAATAACTTTTTCAAGAGCGGCGAAATACTTAAATAGATAATTGAGAAACAAGGATGACTGAACAACTCAGAGAATGGACTCCATACTACCCCACAAAGTATACAAAGCAACATTTGGCATTCTCAAAGTTGCTTAGTCAGCCTTGCTTGTCATTTTGGTTGTTCCATAAAAACTTGCTGAGTAGATCAGTCATCTATAGGATCCGTCACCTTTGTCTTGTACGTTCGCCCTTGATAGTTCCCTTCAAATCTGACCGGTACATCAGGTTTTAGTTTAGCGTCCGTTAAAGAAATTTTTGAAGGCTAAGAAGAAAAAGAAGGTATTTTTAAACACAGTGGTGCTCGGATTACCTTAATTATTATTATTATTATTATTATTAATTATATAATACATTTACTTTATGCTTGCTTAACTGAAGCATTATTACATCAGCTGTACTGTTTCCTTGGTTTGTTTCGTGCTGTGGCGGTTTAAGGTATGCGGTTGGAACTGAAGAGTCCTAAATGATCATTAATGCATTAATATAAAAAATTTACTTTCCCGTTTTTTGCTGACATAGCTGACCTTCTAATAAATGTGCCTTTGTTAATGAAGTAGTGGAAAATAATCGGCGGCAAAAATCAAATATTAATACAATGATGCTGCAGTATAATATTTTAAAGCTCCCTGACTGTGCACAATCGTTTCTCTTTTGGTTCACATTTTGTAAGTAAATCAATAAATGAGGGTTTCTATTGGTAAGTTTGCTTCAAAATGCATGATAGGAATGCTGTATATTCACTGTCAGTACACGGTCAAAAGCGCTAGCACAATCATATTATATAGTAATCTGTTGGGCTTTATAACAATTGTACTCTATACACTACGGTCCGTCTGGAAAGTTCGGTTTAGTTTATTTGACCAAAATCACAAGTAGAGCAGAGAGAAAGCAACACGCTTTTCTTTTGTGACCGGGTAAAAACAATTAAATCCCTTTCAATAAACGGCCCCGTGTTCTTTCTCAGTGTGCTGCTTATTTAGCCCTATGATTAAAACCGTTTCTTTTTATAGCTTTGAAAGCTTTTACATAGAGCTAAGAAATTTGTTCAACCGCTCGTGCACCTGCAGTCTCGTCATAGTTGGCCAGTCCATCTTTGCCGTCAAGGTACTAACAGTGGAGTTGCACATTCTGAAGTAAAGACCTTCAAAAAGGTAATCAGTTTGCGATTTTAAAAGTTAACGGGCTGGAGTTAGTGTTTTGTATGTGTTAAAGGATGGTACGAAGAAGTAACTCATACGGAAAGTGGAGTGCAATTACATCAGCGGCGAGAATCGCGATCGCCCAAAACAAGCGCGAAACACTCTCACTTATGAGAAAAAACCAAGGTCTGACAAGCGAGTCCGATTGTGCAGTGAAAGCCTTTTACAGAGAGAAAGCCAGGGCTAATAGCTTTCTTCAAGAGGTACATGAACACAGAAAGAAATCCCGTATTTTGCAACCTAAATGGGATGAAAATGGCAATGTTCTGGTTGAAAAAGAAGTAGTGAAAAATGAAAAGAAACTCCAACGATTGAGACTGCCCAGTTTAGACAACGACCAGGAAGAAAAATCTCGAGAACAAGTCCATGAGGTGGGAGGAGGCCCATTATTCAAGCTAAATAATGGCAAAATGGAGTCATCGAAAGAAATAAGTGGTGGGAATAAACTTAAAAATGGTACAATTAAACAACTGCAGAAGAGTAGAAATGAGTTTAGGGAAGCCTGGGTGTTAAATGAGCGAAACAGTGAAGATAAACTTGAAAAGAAGACTCCGCCTGCAGAGCTGAAAAAAGGGTTTGTTGAGAATGAAGAAAATAAGGGAAGTTCGAAAGAAGGCACTGGTGTCGATAAGCTCGAAACAAGCAGCCCTGGGACCAAGAAAGAAACAAACGTTCCACCCACGAAGAGACCTTTTAAAATTCGCTCTAGGGCAACGAGCATATGCATTTCTTGTCAACACTTTCACTGTCAGAATTTGCCTTCGGTGAACGGACCAAAGATCGAACGAAAATGGTCCGACGAACTTCGATTAAATGACAGATGCGAATCAAGCAAGAAAGACTCCCGAAAGCTGAGCCTTCCAATGATTCGGCCGATGTCAGATGTAACTGATTTAAAGATTCGACGAATGTCAGATGTAACTGATTTAAAGATGCGGTCAGTTTATATGAGTTGAAGTTATCAGTCCTGGGGAGTGGCAGATACAGGAGAATTTGACTATAAAAAATGCTTTAATTGGCGGCCTTAAAGACCTATCGAAATTTAGGGAGACTCACCCAAGGGTCGTTTAAACCTTTCAAAACTACCAATTGAAGACGAATTTCTCAAATTTGCAAAAAATATATCTCCAGAAAGGGAAACAAATCTTGCACTATCACGAAAATTAGTTTTCGGTTAGCCTGAATTTCATCCGGTTACCTCGAGTCTTTATTACTCCTTCAGTAGGAGAAAACGACTCGAAGCAATCGGATGAATTTCAGGCTAGTTTTCGGTGAAAACAAAAAAGTCGCTGATCCGCAAAATTAATGACTCACCCAAAAATTTCGCGTGCGTGCCACACGGTAAACACATTTTTGGCCGACAAATTATAATTAAGCAAAGCTTTCGCAATGTTTTCAGGCCCCAATTTTCGGTTAGTTAATACTTGGTTACAATATTCAATGGTGAACACTTGCGTGTCTCATGGAATGGTGACTGAAATAAAAGTGGACAGTGCGTGGTGAAGGAATGGGCAAAAAGGAAGGAGATGGAGCTCATTGAATAACTAAAGTGCTGATCGCGGTGGTAAAAGAATCATCAAGGGCTGCATCAGAACAGTAAGGATAGTCGTTTTAAGCACCAAGTGGCACAAGCTAAAAGTTTCCGAGCATTCTTATCCGGAGTTGACCTGGAACATTTGACCCTGAAAAGATTTTATGACGTCAATAGTCTCATCAGGGAGCTAGGTTTAAGTATTGCTAACATGTACAGAATTTTCAGCAATTATGATTGTTTGCAACAGAGGTTAATTAAATTTATTTCAGTTCTTCGAGTTCTTTCTTCTGTGTGAACTAAATAAAGGTTATATACGGCAGCTATATCAAAGGAGCCAATAAAAAAATCGTTTATCGATATCATTTGCAATAGCTCCAATAAGAACAGTTCAGCAGTCAGCTCTCAACAAACCCTTCTGGGCTATAAAGGGAAACTATTACCTTCCCTTTTAAAGCATCTTGATTATGACCGACAAACATTTCTAAATCCATATAAATCAGCTGATGTACAAGCTTGCGGTTGTTTTTTTTATACCCCCTCAAAATAAGTCATGAAGGAGTAGAAAAGACAAACGCAAGTGGGCTTGTGCATCAGCTGATTTTGAAAATTTCTAATTACGCAATAAAAATCACTACGCAATGTTTAGTCAGTTAATGTTGTAGTCTGATTTCCTTAATTCCCGCCATTACAAAATAAACAGCAATAGGCAAAATTTCTGCTCGGTGACTTAAACTTGGATGGTCAGTCCATTTTGGTGGCTTCTATAAAGGGACTTTTTGCCTGATTCTGCTTTTGTTTAAATTGTACCGTGTTACACCTCATGGGTCGAATTCATTGAAATGGAGCCGTAATCAAGTTTTAGAGTTACAAAATGAAAACCTTGTGAGAAAAACAACTGCTTAATAAGCTGTTGTTGGAATTAGTCCGTCGCCAGTTATAAATTTTTGAGGCCTTCAGAATTTCTTTCAGGAACAAAGCCGCCCCGAAGAACTTAGAGTATGCGACCACTCGAGCGAGACTATCATCCAAGATCTGTTATAGAACAACTCATGAAATTGACCTTTTGGGAAACATTTGTCCCTCATAATTAAGCGATTAGTGTTAAGCGATATTGTTATCTCTTGTAATTAAGCCTAAAAAAGGAGGTCAGGGCCATTGTACAGGAACATCCCTCAGTTTGTTTTGATTCGTTGCGGTTGTTTCACTTGGTTTGATAATTACAAGTGCGTGGTTTTGGCCTCGAGTGGTATTATTAGTCAGTACACCTAGTCACAACAAAGTCTGCACTTTTATTAAAATTAGCCATCGACGAATAGGAAATGACTACAAGTTCTGTGAAGCTAACCTTGGGTAAGGCGTTTAGTTCAGTGTTGCAGAAACTGAGGTGTGCGTCGGAAGTGAGATAAGGTGAAACACACAATGTCGTTTTCTGAAATCCGGCAACGCTTTTACTTGTCTTAAGTCAGGAAGTCTAGCGTCAGGAAAATGTTAAATTTCATATTCTAAAATATGAACGCCCTGGAAAAAAATATTCCATTTCAGTGATCACCAGGTCATAGGATTTCATTAAGTGACTCAAAAGTTGGGTCTAATACAAAACATTTCTGTACTGAAATGACTCTCAAACGCAAAAAATGGCTTAATTAAGTATGCAAACGTTTGTCATCCGTACAGCTTCATATCTGCAAGCCCGTTGACTCCTAAACGTCTCCCGGCAATCATGGAAGAGTTGATGATTTGAGCTATTGTGAAAACCTCTTTTAGCACTACTTGAAAAGTTTGATTTTCCGGCCATCCGAACTAGTTTGCAGCGATTACTATACTGAAGTCTTCACCTAACAATTTACTTATAAAGGCTGGCCCCCTTTAGAAACAGCTAAAAGACCTTAGAATAGATAGTCGTCATACTAATTAGTGTGTTGTTTATAGCTTTTCGCTACAGATGCGCCATTCGGCGCACGTGTTTAAACTTTTACTAAGACTCAACCTTCGTTTGCTTTGAAGGTCCACGACGCCAGGACGCACAGCATCTTAGAGTTCTTCATTTTACTGTTGATTCGACTGAAACATGGACAAAAGAAATTGTTATTCCAGGGCAAAGTATGTTCCTACATCTGCAGAACATATAGCTAAAGTAAGAAATAACCGAGAAACATTATTGCTTGCAAGAATGAGCAAAGGACTCTCTCAACAGTCGAATGGAACACTGCGAAGCTTTTACAGAGAAAAGACGAAAACGAACAATTGGCTTGAAAAAGTTCAGGAAAAAGCCACGGGAAAGTTAAACACCAAGCCAGAAGAAAAGATAGATGTTATTTGGAAAACTGATGAAGTGACAGATGTGATGAAAGTGCAAATCAGAATGAGACGAAAAAGTTTGGAAGTTAATCAGACTGAAGAGACTCGAAGAAGAATCCGGGAGTTCTTAACAAGTGAAATTCCAGGGGATAAGTCAAGGAATGCACAACTTGGACGTTTAGACAAAATCGGTGCGAAGAATGACTGGACTGAATTAGAACAACGGAGTACGGGAGAAAGTTCAACAGATGAGAAGAAAACGAAAATGCAAACTTCAAAACCTTTTCGAGTTCGCTCGCGCACATCCGGGATATGTTTTTCATGTTCTCACTGCCACTTGCAGGGTTTGCGCCCATCAGCAAGTGTACCAAATATGACAAGAAAATGCTCAGAAGAGCATCGATCGCATACCTCATTGAATTCAAACATGGTGCGGTTCAGAAAACTCAGTGTTCCCATGACTAGTCAGCTGTTCCGGGCCCAAAATAGAAGCTATGACGTCTATACCCCCCGCCCACCCTTCGCAGGGAGTAGTCTAACATCCAAGGGGGAACACATAACAAGAACTGGCTCCTGTTTGAAATTAGTGCCGATGAAAAAACACAGCATTTGAAATCCAGTGGCAAGACATATTCAAGTTGATTTGTAGAGTACAACTTGAACGTTATACTGGACGTATTCATTAAACAGTGTGTAATATTATCATATAGACTTTTCAATAAGTAACGGACAAGATCATAATAAGCTCTCTAAACTCCAACGTTTCATATATCTTTCAAAGCTGCACTGGGCTACATAAGAAACTTGGGGGAGAGTAGAGGAGGGGTCTGGACCCCGCTAAATATATCGGTCCGAATGATTTTTTAAAAGTCTTAGCTAACTTTTATGAAATTAAAATAACCCACAAAATAACCTCTGAAGTGTAACTTACAACTTTCATCTCGTAGCTTAAAAATAAACATGCGTTTCATGACTTTTATGTTGCCTTTTAGCGATAGGATGTGATTCGTTTGATTAAATTTTATCACTTAAGACAAAGGACGATTGTTTCAGTACGAGTAGAATGTCACATGAACTGGGCGTACTGATGACGGCATGGGCCTAGCTACGTAATAGAAACCAATGTGTAATGCTGTGGAAAGATGGAAATTATTAGCTTTAGCGGGGGCATAAGTTTGACCCCCCCCCCGAACAAAGATACCTCGGATCCACCCCTGTTGGATTAATAAATCACTGAAAAACCTGGCCCCGTGGCCGGGTAACTATTACCACACGAATCATGAGAACTACAGTGCCGTAGCAAGGGTAATATAAGTGGGGGGGCACGCGAGCGCCGGAGGCGCTATCCTCTAGGGGGGTCTGGGGGCATGTCCCCCAGAAAATTTTGAAATCTGGAGGCGTTCTCTAAGAGCTATTTGTGATTTACGCATATTGCGAATTATTTACTTCGTACACTGTCTCAGCAAACCAATGCACATTGAGAGTATAACACTTGCAACGTCAATTACAAAATAGAAAACCGACTATCTCAGTATCTTGAAACCAGCAAATGTTTTGGCTGTTTAATATTGTTGTGCATTACCCTACGTATGTTAAAAAATGAAAAGAAGTACAAATGTTATTGTTTCAAACCTCTCGAGAGATAATATTTTATTTTCAACATTTTATACAGGTCTGTTTTTACTTTTTAAGAAAAAAAAACTGGGGGGGCATGGACCCCCCCGGCCCCTCCCCTTGCTACGGCACTGAACTAGTAACCCGGTTTTTAGAACGATTTTCAGTTATTGTCACTGTCGAAAGAATGCCATATTGAATCACTAAAATTTTCTGGAGTGCTCCGTCTATAGCTTTAACAACCCTTTATCTTTTTCCATTAGAGTACTGACCCGGTTAGGGGTATACTTGAAACTGATACGGCCTCTACCCAGGCTATGTCTCTGAAGAGTATACTGGCTCTTTGTCCTGGAACAGGGTATATAGTTTTTTACGCCTTGTCCTATAGAGCGCTTTCACATGACGTCACAGCAGCCATATTGGTGTTCCAAACCAATCCTGTTGGAGTTAAAACTCTTTTCTTACGCAAAAGCTCGTATAGATGCTAGCCACGGAAGTGAAAACACTCTATACAGGCTCTTATTTTTCAGCGTAGTGAAAACAACAGAGCACGTAAGTTGTACTTTGTTCTTAACAGGATATTGAAATAGAGGTTCTTCACGGTCTTTTATACCAATCCCATACCCCAAGTTAGGTTCACTAGCTTTCCCCGCTTCTCACTCCTCGCTTTCCCCATCCCCACCCGGGAACAAGAGCGGCGCTTAGTACTAAGTTTTTTAAAATAAAGAAATAGCGTTTAACCGCTATTTATTCGCGTTAGAGAAGAAGGCCTTTTGATTTTTGCCATGACGAATTAGGCTACAGCAGGAGCCGCAAATCAAAATACAACAACAAAACAGACGCCCGGAAAATAATAGTTTTGACGACTGAAAAAGTTGAATGGCTTCATTTGATTGCTTATGTTTCCTGCGCTCCCAGTGTATGTAACCGGCACCGGCGTATCTAAACGGGAATTTTTTAGACGGTCTGTTCCCAGAGGTGCGTAGGAATTTGAAGGGGGCGCAAGCGAAGTCACAGTAGGCGAGCGAGCGCGAAGGGCAAGGAATCCCCCATGATCTGTATTTTTGTTCGCGCGCTTGAGGACTGATAGAAGATAGAAGAACTGTGAACAGACTCTGTACTTCCAGCTACTTGCTGACTTGCTTACCCGCCGTTGAGACGTCTCTCTAGTGCGATGAGATAGGACATAACTGCAACGGTACACCTGTGAGCTGTGGAATTGCAGGGCGTTTCGCCGAAAGTCGATTCGCCCGACGGTTAGCCTGAGTATCAGGCGTTTTTTTGGGGAAAGGGGAAAGATGGAAGCGAAAAAGGGAGAGGGCTGAAGGAAGGCCTGATACTCAAGCTACCCGACGGCGTTCGCCAGGACTTGACGATTCGCCCGATGACATACTACAGCCCCCATACTACAGGCTTTACATATTTGGCCTGGGTGTCGGCTTAAGGTGTCTTCAAAAGTGCCACGTCTTTTCTTAAAAATTCTACCTATACCCTGGTCCCAGAGGTTTTTCTTGATTTTTCCTCGCGAAAGAGATCAAGAGCAAGCCGCGAAGCGGCGACAAAGAGTCTCCCTCCTCGTCGCTTTCGCGACTCGTTGTCGCCGCTTCGCGGCTTGCTCTTGATCTCTTTCTCGAAGAAAAATCAAGAAAAACCAGGAGCCCATAACCTCTGGGACCAGGGTACGGCCTGGGTTGGCCTGGGTAGAATTTTTAAGAAAAGACGTGGCACTTTTGAAGAGCCTGGAACCTATGATTGCAAACATGGCGGACGATTCAATGCTCACGAGCGACTAAATACAGGAATGGCTCCGACCTGTAATTGGAGGATAAAAATAGTTAGTAATTAATAAGTTACAGCTTAACTTTCAGCCATGCGTCACACTGGACAACGATATCACTAACGTTGTTGTGATGTGTGACTTCTGTTTCGTCTGTTTCGTCTTACGCAGTGGAAGAAGCAAGAAGTCGATGTATGAACCTTAAAATTTCACTTACATCGGCAGAACCTTTTTCTAGTGTTAAACAGTACCAACAGAGATGGGAAAATGTCACAGCGTTGGCCAACAGCGTTCAGTTCGGACTCAAACACTCGGAGCTATTCCTGTATTTAAACCGCTGACGGGTCAATGTACAGGAACTGGCTCCGATCTGCATAAAGAGAGACTTGTCACATGATGGTGTGTGGTGTGGGAGGGGGGGGTGGGGTTGGGGTCTGGGCGATCATGACCAGATGATATAAAGAAAAAAACCAAAGAGCTTCACCGAAAAAAAAAAATTCAAAATCAACTAACATAAAAAAGTCGATAAAGGAACTAGACTTGCTTGATCATTACTGAATACTTATCTGACTGTCGCTGGTGATTAGCAATACGGGGTTGTTTTTAAATGATCTGTTTTAACGTTTTTGTACCGGGTTGTTTTTCATCCGACAAAACTTGAACGAATCGATTTATCGAAACTAAAAATAACTTGCTTGCGTCCATGATATATAAGGCCTAAATTTAAAACTTCTCACACGTAGCTTAGTGGACATTATCGATTGATTGATAAAGTTAGCCTAAGTAGTGAGGTGCCCGCCTCAGTGTATAGGATAGGGATTGGGGGGTGAGGAGAATGAAAGCATTTTCTAGCGGGGTTCGGCACTTGAACATGCTTTTTTAAGGCTTGTAAGCATTTCTTCTGCCTTTACTGGTGGGTAAAGTCTATACCCGTTTACAGACCAAAACGGCTCAATAACCCGTTTCTTTGGGGTGGCACATACCTATATGAAGGAAGTTCTCAAAACAAACCTAACTCAGTCAAGAAAAGCCACTGTTTTTCCATGATTTGCATCACCCGGCAAAAACTAGGTCAAGACACAAAATACACCGCCACAATCGGACTTTTTTCCCGTTTAATGATAAATCGCTTTCTTTTCTTTACTCTGATCATGATGAACGCCTGTAGGACCTATAATTGAACTAGTTTAGTCCCTAGAGGTTAATTAAGTAAGAAAGGTCACATGACTCAACAAATACACAAATAATTTATAATGCAAACAGTAGACTCAAGGCAAAACTGGCCACTAGTTGATGAATATTATTTTGCTCACGGTTAAATTTCCTTTGATAACTTCATTCTTAAATAACAAAAGTTAAACAAAAATGAGTTATCTCATGGGAGGCTAGTGAGGCTATTTTTAATGTATAAAACAGACTATTCGATTTAATCATAACTATAACAAAATTGTCAAATCTGATTGGCTATCAACTGCCCTGATTTCAGCCTCAAGTGGACAGTTTAATAGGACAGTACGCATCATGCCTAAGTAATTGGACAGGATGTTAGAAATTATTGCGTCATTGTGGCGGGAAGACTCGTCACGTGATCTGAAAACTGAGCTTTTTGCAAGAGTCTTAGAACTGTGGAGTCGTTCGGAGTCGTGGAGCTGATCAAGTGTGTGGATTGAGTTTAGATCATCGAATTTTTACGCGAATTGATGTCGATGAATCCGTTAAGTGTAGAACAGAGTACAGAATTCTAAAATATGAACATGTGAAGAAATATGCTTAATGGAGTGAAGAATAAAAGCTACAGAGAACTGACTGTATATCCCATATACAACATTTGGTTACACAGTACGCGCCATCACGATCACGCGCGCGCTTAAATGGTTCTTTTTTTTCACTGCTAGCAAAACAAAATTTCGAATTTCTTGTGTTTTGATTTAAAAAAGAGCCTATTATATCACAAATTTTGTTAAAGTTATGATTAATTGGTAACAGAACTTCGTGTCGTCCAATTCGGTCTGTAATCATACTCGTGATTAAACCATGGATAATAGAAAGACTGATGAGACTCCCGCTACGCGGTCGTTCGATTTTGTTAATCGCTCGTATGATTACAGACCGAATTGGACGACACGACGTGTGAGAAGTTTTAAATTTAGACCTTATATATCATGGACGCAAGCAAGTTATTTTTAGTTTCGATAAATCGATTCGTTCAAGTTTTGTCGGATGAAAAACAACCCGGTACAAAAACTTTAAAACAGATCATTTAAAAACAACCCCGTATTGCTTAGCCTGCGTAGCAGGCGCTTGGAAGTAGTGGGCGAAAGAGAGAACGGACGAGGGAGACACGCAAGGGGTGACTACTTCCAAGCGCCTGCTACGCAGGCTGCGTATTACTAATCACCAGCGACAGTCAGATAAGTATTCAGTAATGATCAAGCAAGTCTAGTTCCTTTATCGACTTTTTTATGTCAGTTGATTTTGAATTTTTTTTTTTCGGTGAAGCTCTTTGGTTTTTTTCTTTATATCATCTGGTCATGATCGCCCAGACCCCAACCCCACCCTCCCACACCACACACCATCATGTGACAAGTCTCTCTTTATGCAGATCGGAGCCATTCCTGTACATTGACCCGTCAGCGGTTTAAATACAGGAATAGCTCCGAGTGTTTGAGTCCGAACTGAACGCTGTTCGCCAACGCTGTAACATTTTCCCATCTCTGTTGGTACTGTTTAACACTAGAAAAAGGTTCTGCCGATGTAAGTGAAATTTTAAGGTTCATACATCGACTTCTTGCTTCTTCCACTGCGTAAGACGAAACAGACGAAACAGAAGTCACACATCACAACGACGTTTAGTAGTGATATCGTTGTCCAGTGTGACGCATGGCTGAAAGTTAAGCTGTAACTTATTAATTACTAACTATTTTTATCCTCCAATTACAGGTCGGAGCCATTCCTGTATTTAGTCGCTCGTTCAATGCTCCTTCTCTTTTGGACGGTTCTAGCGGTTTTATTCGGATTATTTGCTCTCTGGAAATATTTGAAACCTAGAGAGAGTAATAATCAGAGAATTTCGAGCCGCCAGACCTCCGAAAATATGAAGGAGGCACGGCTGAAGTTTTTCGCAGGCAGAGAGGAAGTTTTATCCAGGAGTACAATGTTTACAATCGACTCTAGTTCAGACACTCCAGCTCACGTTAGGACAAATGACAGTGTTTCGGAAGAAAGAAATATTCAGAAAGAAAGACAGAAGAAAACTGTTGATGCGGGACAAGATATTGAAGCTCCTGAACCTTCTGTGCGATATACGAAGTTGATCGAAGGACCGAGGAAAGTGGGCAGTTCTGCTCTTGAAACCGAAAATAGTCCTTTTGATCCTGAAACAAGCGCACCCATAACACGACCGCTTAAATCTTTGGATGAGGTTTTGTCATGGACACAAGGGTTCGACTTCTTCAACGTGGCCTCAGTTCTGTTAACCGAAAAGAGCAGAAAGTTAGAGAAGAGACCTCGGACACTTGTGTGCCATGACATGAAAGGAGGTTATCTTGAGGACAGGTTGGTAACTATAACTTAAGATATCATCCTTTAAAAGAGCTCAGGTATTTGGGAAAACAGAAAACCTAGAAGTGAAGACACGTTTAATCTGATACCGTAAAATTCTGAAAATAAGCCCCTCCAAATATTACCCCCCTAATCCTGTATCGCAAAAAAGGCTCCATTAAATCGCCCCTCCAAATATATCCCCCCCCGGGGCTTGTACTTGGAAAATTGCCCTCAAATACAAGTAAAACAAAGCAAAAATGGTGAATTTACTTCCAATGATAAGGCTAGCCCAATCAATTTTGAAATGCAAAATTTCCCTCCGTAGATAAACCCCTCCCAACATAAGCCCCTCAAAAAGGGCCTTTGAAAAATATAAGCCCCAGGGCTTATTTTCGGAATTTTACGGTAAGAACTCAGTAAGAACACACCAAGTCCTTGTTGATCAGCTTTGTTGGGCATCTCTGTGAGTGATGTCAGTGTCTGGAAGGGTGGTCCTGATCCTGTATTCCGGCTCCTTTTTCACAAAAATCCCATTTGCTGCACTTTTTTCATTGCTTTCCCAAATTCTTTTCTTGTTTCCAAAACAATACAATAAAAACTAGTTAACAAGGCACACTCTGTAGTTTGGTTTGAACAGGAAATTGGCTCTTGGTCACTTTGCTGCTTAAACATAATTATGATTTCCTGAATTCCCAACGTACAGGCAAAAAAATCCTGCATCCCATGCTGAAAGTTTGGTGAATCCTGCTTCCCGGGTATCTGTGAAATCCTGTTTCCCTGTTAAGATGTCTTGCATTTTCCTGAATCCCACACCATATTTTGTTCAAATCCCAGTTCCCAAAAGCACTCTTCCAGACCCTGTGATGTCCCCAACACAAGTGATACATTTATATAAGGGATCTTAAGATATACTGTTTCTGCAAGTATGGTATGGTTAGGGGAACAAGTGTGCCATTTTATTATTTGAAAAGGGATCATGATAAAGTGATTATGACATTCAGTAGCCAGTGTACCCATTTCTGCCTTGTAAGAGGCAGTCTACCCATACCCATACACTGGAAATGGGGTACTGTAAGGTGTCTATTACTTCATTTGTACTGGGTAGAGAATACGTACCTTCCTGTGGGTTCGGAATTTCCCTGTAGAATATTTTGAGAGGATGATTTTTTCCCCCATATGGTAATGACATTATCGCAACATTTAGTGGCTAGCCTACCAAACACTCCCTGGTAAGAGGCAGCCTGCCTGTATTTAAGGCTACGGGTAAGTGTGATTTACCCATACCTATACACTTGGGTAGCCGATCAGAGCACAGGATTCACTTTATCTTGCCTGCCCACAGATTCAGCAATATAATAAATGCATAATATTTTTGAAAGGCCTAGTGAGACTATCTCAATTTGTTATGGTGGGGAGACTTGTGTGTTTCTGTGACCTGGACAGCTTAGCCACTTGGTGAAACACACCCTGATGATGATGATGATATTGAAAGGCGTGGTATGTTAGGAGCAGTTTCAGTTAAACTCATCGACAAGATGAGCTTGGGAGCGTGTGCCTTAAAGGTGGATTGGCAGGTTGGTGGACTCCCCCGGATATCCATGAGCCGTGACTCCTGCAGCATGGAAATTTTAATTATGCAGTTGCACCTTCATGGCTGACCAGTCGGTGACCTAGGACGCTGCTGCATGTTCTTGAAATGCTGGTCATAATTTAGCCACAAAGCCACAAGTGACCACTAAACTGCTGGCAAGTCAGCAGGATTGGAAGCTTATATTGTGACAGGTCGTTCCAGTGGTAGGGGAAATACAAGGTGAGAAAACCTCCGTCCAAGTGATATGTCATCAATTTTTTTGTGGGATCCCTTGGAAGTGCTAGTCAGGACTATTTGGCCATCAAAGAACAGCTATGGCTCTGTTGTGGACTGAGTGATGGTAGCATGTAAAAGGTTGCTTAACTTGATAAACTTCCCAGAGACGATCTGGCTCATGATTTTCGTGGGACCCGGGGAAAAGCCAGAGCCCACAATAAAAGGTTGATGCAGAACTGGAAGAGGGGTAGTAACTGTGTTCGTACTCAGCAGTTCCAAAGGCACAATGAAGGTGGAACTAGCACTGAACGCTGATGTAGAAAGCGACAAGGTCCACAATAGTAATAACACTGGATGGGTGCAAAATCGAACAATAGTGTTCACAAACAAAGGAACTACAAAGGACTGCGTACCTGTACACTAAGCACTAAAGGGAATCAGAGAACGCGCCACCAGAAGCCAGATACATTGAAGAATGAGAACTAAAGATCTTGGGGAACACCCCAACAGCCAGAACAGAAGATAGTGTTATGAAGGTAATTCAGCCGAACTGCTGGGTGCTGGAGGTTGATCCGCTGCTTTTTCTACCCCTGGAGAAGCCTAGAGAAACCACATCTACTATCTGCTGAACAAGCGATGGAGGAATTGACATCGTTGTTCAGACAGCAGACAAGCCAGTTGAGGATCCAGCAGACGAAGCCATAGTCGAGACATGACTGATATAATCCAATGAATACAAGTGCTAAATCAAATGAAGAGAAACTTGAAACGAACGACAGAAGTGAGCAAAAACCAGCAGATATCACAGGTTGTGAATTGCAATGATCTGCAAAGATCTAGCCTGCGTAGCAGGCGCTTGGAAGTAGTGGGCACAAGAAAAAACAGGCATGCGAGAGGAAGAAACGCGAGGGCGAGAGGGAGCACCTGCTTGGAAAGCCCACAAAAATCGTTTCCCGGCCCCAATCTAATCACCTGGCAGCAGTTGCATGATCTGTCAAAAGTTTTTACAGAAAACGACTGACCTCGCACAAACAAAGCATGCGGCCAAAAAGCGCTGTACATTTTATCTGTGGTCTAAACATATCTGTTGTAAAGATCAGCTGGGTTATCTGATTATAGAGTGATGGAGCAATAAACTAATGGTTAACACACAGCTTTAAATCATTTTAACCACGGGCACAATAAATAGGAAATAACAAAGTCAAAACTGGGTATCTTTTAAAGAATGCATGCTGTGTATTATAAAAAACTAAAAATATTGTTCTCTGAGCTTACTTAGCCACAACTGTACAGACACCAATGATCACAGCGTACACGGAAAATGACCATTGCTTTTACTGCGCTAAGTGGCAGCCGTTTTTGGAGCAGACATGTCTTACTAAGCGGACCTAAACTTCAGAACACAAACTGTACGTACCAACACATTTTCTACCGCAGTAAGAAGATGTAAACAACAGACCTCAGGTCGCCTCTGAATGGCGAATAATACAAAGTGAAAGGTTCTTTCAAATTAATGCCCCTGGTAAGTGTTTCATTTCATCAATCATGTCCAAGTTTTGATGGTATGCGTTCCATCGACGACACAAGCCGCCAAGTTCTCCTGAGCCAAGAACATTTCCTCTTATCATTTTTGCAACGATTCGACAAATCTTTTGTCTCTCTCCACTCCTGCTAATGCGTATCTCATATCAATTCTTTCCATCGTGAATACTGTTTGATCACTCCAACTTTTCTTTGAGATTACAGCCACATAGTCCCATTAATCCTGATTGAAGTGACTTCTGAGACCTGAACTTCGATTGTATACAATAATAATAATAATAATAATTTATTACTTATTCGGCACAAATATCTATATGAATATATTCAAATGCGCCTTACAAGTTACATTAAAATAATAATAAAATAATAAATCTAATATAGTAAAACTATCCAGTCCATATCTAATAAATAAACTAAAAATTACACAGAGTAAAAAATGTAAAATTCTAAAAAAAATAACAAGTATACGCTTTCCTAAAAAGATGAGTTTTCACTAAGGACTTAAAAACGTCCATTGTCTTAGCATTTCTAATGTCATTTGGGAGACCGTTCCACAGTCCCGGAGACGCAACTTGAAATGCTCTGTCTCCCAATGTCTTTTTTGTTTTTGTAGCATTATAAGGTTGTAGTAGTAGCTGTGACGATGATCTTAAATTATAATTTGTTCGTTCCCTAGTTCTAATTAAATCTGAAATATATAGTGGAGCATAGCCATGTATTGCCTTATAGGTTAAAATTAGCACTTTGTATTCAATCCTAAAAGACACAGGCAGCCAATGTACAATTATGGTTTCAGGAGCTAGTGGTGTAATATAAAATCTTCACTACATTGTCCATGTAAGTTATTGATTGACAGTTTTCCCCTGTGCGGTAACTTTTTTCCTGGGGAGCCTCTCCACCAATTGGAAATATCTGCACTCACAGAATGCGAGTTGAAACGATTTTCGGGGGCCTTCCGTGCAGGCGCTCCCTCAACCCTCGCGTGTCTCCCTTGCGCGCGCCCGTTCTCTCTTTCACCCTTTACTTCCAAGCGCCTGCTACGCAGGCTAGAAAAGATCAGCAAAGCAAAGCAGAGCTGAGATATGTAATCAAATGTAGGCCCCCGCAGACCCGGTGGCCACTGCACAGAAGGCTGTCTGCCTGGGGTTCAACCGCTGACCCGCTAGTGTTGTCTTGAGGTTAACCTTGTCTAAATTACAATTTAGCCACATAAAATAACAGTTTTTCGCAAGGGAATAGTCTTGAATTAAAGAGTTCTAACAAAGTCATACTTTTCTTATAGGTTTGTTCAAGGCACCAATACTGCACCGGGCGACTCATACATAATATACCACTGGCAGCTTATTGACATTTTTGTATACTTCAGTCATCATTTTGTTACCATACCTCCTCCGTGTTGGACCAATGCTGCACACACCCATGGTGTTCCAGTGTTGGGCACTGTAATTACAGAGTCTGAGGATGGAGTTATAAGATGCAGCAAATTTTTAGAGGACATGGCTTCATGGAAGAGTCTTGCAAATCAGCTGGTTGATATAGCAGACTATTACAGATTTGATGGTTGGTTTCTTAACATAGAAAATCCCATACAGGTACTGAAAAACATTTGATGTAAACCTGACTCCACCTCCTGCTAGCTTTTCATATATGGCTAAATAATATCTGGATGGGTGTTCATTAAAACTCTAAAAAGAAGCCAACAAAAAAAGAGAAAACTAAATATGAAGTAATATAAAATCCATCTTGCACAACCCAAAAGCATAATCATAGCTACCTGCTAAGAGGATAAGCATAATATGATGAAATTTTTTACTTGTACATTCATTGCATTCATGGGGCTTTTTAGGGATAAAATTAGTGATAAACAACGTAAAGTTAATTGGCCAGAGATGCTCCCGTTGATTTTTTAAATTTTTTCAAGTGTAGTCACGGAGCTACACCTGGGTTTAGTATAATGTATGTTTATCTAAATTTTTTATTAAGTTTGATCATGAATTAATGCAATTTAAATATTCCATATAAACACAATGGAAAAAAATGGGACCTGAACCTCAAAACTCTTGTCAAAGTTAACCTCCAGGCATGTACATGTATTTCATCTTTGTTATTTATAAAATAATTATATTATTGTTGGGTGCTTTTATTTATAGCCAGTGCAAATCAACAATCTAGAAGAGTTTGTAAAATATTTAACTGCGGAGATGCATCAGCGGATTCCTAATTCCTTGGTAATTTGGTATGACAGTGTAACATACAAAGGAGACCTAGCGTGGCAAGATGAACTCAATGCTAAGAACAGGTACATATTGAATCAGATCTGTCAGGAATTTACATGTAATGTGGGCTGTTGGCAAAAGGTGGATCCGACCCGATCAGATCACTCCTAGTGACCCTATCCCTTACCTTTTGTCATTTAGTGAGTTTCAGGGGCTGATTCAATCCAGTCTGATCCGGGTATTGTTCATGCCATTTAATATGTACTTTTAAGAGGATGTTGACTCTGTTATTCATCTCATTGCGGGGCTGTCACTGAAATTTCAAGTTGCCATGTAATTGAACAGCTAGGAAGTTTTTTGGTTTCCTCTATTTTCCATTGTTTTCTAATGAAAGTAGCTAGGGATATGCCCATAATACCCCAAGGGAAGTCCCTGGCCCCTGGTGCTTAGTGACAGAAGTGTCAATAGATCCTAAATTTTTCATGCATTAACAAGCTTCCTGAGAATCACTGATCACTGAAACTCATTGTTTCTTTAATATGACGCTGATAGCTTTTAGTGCTAAAACATTTTTTGGATTATAACACTCCCCCGGTTTTCATTTGTTTGGCAGAATCTTTTTTGATGCAAGTGATGGTATATTTTTAAACTACAACTGGTCTGAAGCACACTTGATGAGATCTGCAGGTGCTGCTGGGCATAATCGCGTGGCAGATGTCTATGTTGGAGTGGATGTTTTTGGGCGTGGCTGCTTTGGAGGGGGTGGCTACAATTCTAAACTGGTACATAACAAGTGTGATATGTTTCAGTAATACTATTTCAAGGCTTGAGATGTGTTTGAAAATATTGATCACTGTTGATCCGGCAAAGATCTAGACTTTTGGATACTTAAAAGTATCTAGAGCAAAAGTTGTGTGCAATGGTCTCTGTAAATGAAATGACTTGCTTTTACGGAAACTCTGCTAATATTGTTCAAAACTGAACATACATCTCTGAGCACATATGTGCTACCCAGGCACCTATTAGTAAAGCACTCAACCCTGTTCAGATTTTGGCTTCAATGATTCCTTGTGTAAGAAAAGTCCCATTCTAGTCACTTATTTCACTGCCATACTGTGAAACATTTGTGTATCAAAAATATCACACCTAATACTAGTAAAAATCTTTTTATACAAATAACCCATTCTAATGAGTCTAAAAGGACACCACTGACTGTTTTGAGGGATTAGCCCTGTGGAGTCCTAACTTCATCTCTCCAAACTTCCATTTTAGCTTCATGTAGTTGATCTTAGATAGAGTCAAAATGTGGCTAAATGTAATTTAGGCAAAGTTAACCTCGAAGCAATGCTGGTCAGCAGTTTCCCCAGCTATACTAGGGGTGGCCCGATGCCTCTAGCAGGGGCACCTAATGACTTATACATGCAGTTGCTTGCTTGCAGTTCTTCGCAAAGTTTTGTTGCAATAGCTTGCTGTTTGCGTGCCAGTTTGTGCTTTGGTTTTTCCCATCCCTCCCTCCCTCTTGAGGTATAGGCTAGGTAAGTATTGGTCGGTAAGTATTCCACTGAATTGTTCAGTGTGACAGTGCCTGGTGGGGGCTGCTCGCAGGGTTGCCATGGATACCTCCTCCTCATGCTAGAGCATTGCCTGGCTCCACCAACTTTGTAGGTACCACTAAAAATGCCCAAGCTCATCTGTTGGTGATGAGTTTAATCAAGGAAAGTGTTTCATTTTGTTTTAGGCGTTTAAAGTAATAAGAGAGGAAAAATTGTCTGCTGCACTGTTTGCTCCAGGATGGGTTTTGGAGACACAAGGGTCTAAAAACTTCTTTGTGAATCAAGACAAGTAAGATATCAGTATAGAGTCTTAAGACTTAACATTGTGTGCATCTTTATTAATGTGTCTGAATTCTTTCAAAGATTTGTTATTTAGCCTTGAATATCAACTGCTGTATATTGTGTTTTAACTGTGTAATGTGTTACATTCATAAATCGCGACTTTTCCATCACATTATTTTTTCGTGAAGATCTCTCCAGATGAAAGAATTTTGTTCAAGATTCAAAATATTTTGTTGAATTATAATGCCTGTGAAAATAAAGAAAGAATAATCCCATTGACAGGTGATAAAATTACTACTTTTCACAAGCTTTCAAGAAATTTTTAAATAACTTGTTTTTCCATATCATGCAGAGTCAATTAATCAATAATTATTACAAACCTGACATTTCTGTTTTTTCTCTTCTGTATCTAAGTATGTTGCAGCTTTCGCTTAAAATTTTCATGATTGGATCATACTGTAGGTTTTTCTAATGCTTAAACTGTTATCTCTCGTCAAAGGTTTTGGAACCTGTTGGCACCCTACTGTACTGTGCGTTCAGCAGTGAAGGAGATTCCATTTGTAACGTCAACATGTCGTGGTTGTGGAAAAACTGCCAACATAGATGGAAAGGTGATTTGCAGCTAGCATATTGTCCAGTATGAATTAAGTTCACAAAAATTAACCTACAATATACTTGATATACCGGATCAAGGAAGAGCACACTGTTAATTAGGCCATGAACGACTTAAACAATGGAATTGCTCATCTAGATGAACATTGTATTCAAAGAATACTTGAGAATATGAAATTTGGTCGTCCTAATTTGCAGTTCAAACTTCATTAGAATGCAAAACCTCTTATTTGGAGTATTTTGTTTTCTGAATCAGATCCATTGAAATAATATTTGACTAATAAGCCCCTTCTTGTAGTTACATACACTGTAAACGTTTTCCTCTTCTTTTATTAACAGCTAGTTTCCCATTCATATTTCTTCCTTTTTATTAGCATTGGTTGATTAAATACAGTGAAACCTCTATAAAGCGAATCCCCACTTAAGCGGACACCCTCTATTATAGTGGCCACTTAGCCGGGTCCCAAAATTGACATCTTATATTTCCCTTCATAATGAACCTCTATTAAGCAGACGTGGACATTTGTTCATTGAGCTCTCTGGCTTAAATTATTGAAATGTAAGTTTTGTCTGGGTACTACCCAGTTATCAGTGTAAAATTTCATTCAGGGTTCTTGCTAAGATTTTGTTTTGCTAGGTATATGTAATTAGCAGACAGAGAATTAAACAGCTAGGATGTTCTGTTGGGTCTGTTTTCTTGTCTGCTCATACATGTAGCAGCCAAGAAATATCCCCATCCCCCATACCTCAATGACAGCCCTGAATTCTTTGCTGTAATTTTGTTTTCATGAGTAATGGGAAGTATTGTTAGTGGACAGTTTACACATTGCTTTCTTTTTTCCTCACACCTTTGAGACCTTGGAGAGCACTATGCTGCTTTTAAGATAACTACGCACTTAACAAACTACCATTGCACAAATAAGATGAACATTTTGGTGTCTTTTTGTTCGATAGGTGGTACTCTCCAAGCTTTGGACAAATCTAAGTGCACAGCAGTACCAGCCCACATTTATCAACACATTCTTCAATCTTGGTGCCAAGGGAGGACTGGCTATCAGTGCTGTGGAGTATACCATGGATGATGCATATAATGGTGGAGGTTGTCTTCTTATTACTGGGCATGCTCACTCCACTCCAGAGATGTCTAAGGGTGTTGTTAGGTGCAGTACTTTCTAGTTTTTTTTCCCAGTGGTTAGAGCATCTGATCCCGTCTGGAACTCAGAAATTTTTCTGAGTTCTTCTCTCCACACATATCATTCCGTATTTATTATTTATTGCTCAGAGAGTATTTATAAATGTGATTGTACAATGCAGTTAATTTGTGTGTTCATTTGACATAATATGACTGCCCGATGTGGTCCTTATGTCAGCCCACAAATGACCTGCTCAACACTAGAATTCACATTAGCTCAGTGGTTAGGGCATCTGATTAGTGTCTGGAAGGTCGTGGGTTCATTTTCTCATCTGGGAAATTTTTTCTGAGTTCTTCTCTCCACACATATTCTATTGATTTATTCTTTCCGTGTTGTAAGTAGAATTTATTATCATGGTGTCAAAATACATTGCTTCACAACAATAAAACCAAAAGTTATGTTTTTTAAAAAAATAATACAATGCTACATTAACGAATTAAAATAAAAAGCCATTTTCATCTGTTGATAATTTTTACATTATTGTCATAAAGCAATGTATTTTAACGCCACAAGAATAAACACTTAAACACGTCATCTACGTTCCTTTTTCCCTTGCAGCTAATTCAACACTTGTACTACTTTCAGACCGCTACTTTTCCTGGCATTTTGGTTAAACTGAAATTTCACTGTTTTTCGTCCTTCTTTCCCCAGACTATTCAAAACAAATTTCCAGATTATGGGACCTCTTTTGGTGTCATTCACATTTAAGTTGGACCTTAAAGACTGCATTGATGTGGCTTTACAGCTTCACACTAACAAGATGCCTACTTATCTACTGTTCTGTCCACTACCATCAGTAAAGGAACAAGGTATCTGTAAACTTCATCTTAAACTGTAGTGAAACCCTGAAACAGTGAACCCCTCTAAAACGAAATGTTTGTTAACCCTTGAAGTCCCAACAGTGATCAACATCGATTTTCTCCTTGCAATATCAGCACATTATCAACAGAAAAAAGTTACGAGAATTAATAAAATGATCACCAAAGGAAAAATGCTTTGATCTTTTATCAGTCGTATGTTGATACTGGGGCTTGAGGGGTTAACTGGGTTAAGCGAGTGATGCTCTTTACCCCAGTTGTAGTAAAGTATGTGAAAGATATCAGTACAACTCTCCCCTTTCCAGGTAATTAGCCATTGACTACTCGTTCCTAATTGTCTTAAGAACGGAGGCGAGTAGTCTAGGAATAATTGTCTAGGGAGGGGGCGAGTTGTCAGGGGCGGATCCAGGATTTTTTTTAGGAGGGGGTGCACTCGGCTCTTGCTCTACTTCATCACCAGTAAACCACATAATTTTTTTTTTTTGCAGAATACCAGTTGTATTAGAAAACCGCAGGTCATCCGGGGGGGGGCACCCCCTGCACCCTCTCCCTAGATCCCTAGATCCGCCCCTGGTTGTCTATAATGGCATATACTCTGTTACAATGTGTGGGGTTGTCTTTGGTTATGTACCGAATGGTGGAGCTGTGCCATTGGTGAAAGACGGAAAGATGAAAAACCAAATAAATTAGTTGAATGAAAGTGTTCGTTGATTCCGCGTGGATTCAAAGAACGTTTTTTTTGTGTTCTGAGTTTTAGCATGTTGACTTGGTGTGAAATTGGAGTGCTGATTGCCATGTTGCCACTAATGTATTTCTTCTGATGTGCTGGAAAATTGGATTCATCACGGACCATCACGAAATAAGCTGTTCTGTTTCTAACAAATATCTGTGATTGTAGATGACAAGGAACTTCTAGTGAAAAAAAGGAACTATTATTTTAGTGTTTTACTTTCCTCATGTGTGCTTTGATCTGAAATCGTCGTTGTGGCTTGATTTTCACCTGTTTGCAGGATAATTTCCTAATATTGCACCTTTTTACCAATTTTTAGATCCCGGCCAGATGGAAGATTCTGATTTAAATAACAAGCTGATTCGGCGTTATGGCATTCCTGAGTCGCGGACACTGACGTCATCAGTGTTCACGTCCCCAATTGGTTCAGAGCATTACACATTGTTTGAACCGCTGTCAGGTGATCCTCATCAAGTCGTCCAGCAGGCGTTTGGTTTAAGAGAATATGACGAAACTGGAACTAGCTCAGAATGGCTCACGCGGTAAGTGCAGCAGTTAATAGTACAGGATGAAGACACAATCACAGTCGTAATTCCTTGAAACAGTTCTGGAAAACGCAAGCGACACGTATGAAACCGCAAGAACCAAGGCGGTCCACATGGCTAGAGCTTATTCCTGTGACCCCCCTTGCCTTCCCTTGCCTAGTCCCTGAACTGCGTCTTCCCATGCCTTCTCGGTCAATTCGTTTCGGTGACGTATCCGAGACGAAAACCGCTCGGACCACGTGACCCGAAACGCATAGACCGCGCGGAATAATGAGGCCAAAAGACTAGGCAATGCTTCCCCAAGACCTGATGCTACACTGAAGTTCATAACACGATTACCCCGGAAGCCTATTGCCGGTACACCCTTGGCGGAGGACCACACACAGTATATGGAGCGAAGTTTCTTGTCCAGCAGGGAAACAGCGCGATGGCAACGAGAATGCGCGACCAAGGCGCGAACCCACATCTCGTGCGGCAAGTGTTTTTTTTTTATTTGAGAAAGGTAACCCATAGGGAAGTTCTTTTTTGCTTGCTGTCCCATGCAAATCTTGATTTATTTTCTATCCTATTTGCTTGATCAGGCATTACTTAATCGCCGTCCACATGGGCGGAGGCGGTCCACATGGCTGGAGCTTATTCCTGTGCTCCCCCGTGCCTAGTCCCTGAACTGCGTCTTCCCAGGCCTTCTTGGTCAATTCGTTTCAGTGACGTATCCGGCACGAAAATCGCTCGGACCACGTGACCCGAAACGCCCATAGACCGCGCGGAATGATTAGACCTAAAGATAAAGGACTATTGGAAAAAAATAACTCATAGGGAAGTTCTTTTTTGCTGGCTGTCCTATATAAATCTTGAATTATTTTCTATCCTATTTGCTTGATCAGGCATTACTTAATCGCCGGCAAAGAGTTAGAGGGATGCACAGTGCAAGAAATTCGACTGCTTTGTACCGTTTCGCCTGGTAAAGAGCTCAATTGTTTTTAGCGTTGATTTAAACATTGGCATGAGTTTTTATTCATTCTTGGCGTTAGTGGAAAGCACACACATATGGTCTCTTCTTTACTATCCTTTATTGTTGCTTATTTAGGTGCGAAATCCACGGGAACATTTAAACTTCACTTAGGAGAAATCAAGGTGATTACTTTTCTTATTGATTATATTCATCACGTTTAAAATAATGAGTTTTTTGAACCTTCTGGAGGCGAACACCTTTGGGACAAGAGTTCCAGAAGCTTTGAAATCCTGCTTCTGATTGGTCATGAAATATTTTCTGGCCAATTAAAAGAAAGAATTTCAAATGAGACTGCCTCTGCCATTTTTCTGCCAACTTTGTCGGTAATGACAACTTTGTCGTTTGGCTGCCCCTGGGGTCTCTGACGGTTTATCGGGGATAGTTTTAAGCTCATCCTCGAACACGGTCTACCAGCACCATTATAATTCATATCCATTGCGACTGCGTTAAAGAGTTTGGGGAATTTTAATTTGTGAGGTATTCTTATAGAGTGACCACAAAAAATAAAGCTAACCAATTTTGAAATGTTAGAAGATAATTCATAACATTTTCATTTTGTACTAGATCGTTGATCCTAAAGTTCTCAAACACCCCCTTGCTTCTGTACGAAATATTAGATGCCTCGACTTGATATGGAAGCCAACTGACCAAGGGTACAGCTTGAGCCTCACCCTCGTATGGAACTGTCCAATGAACGATGGGCAGTTTGATAAACCTGTGCACTACAACGTCTTCAGAGCAACAGAGGATTCCAACCTGTTTTTGGGGCGCGCTTTTGTAGAGGCGTATCGAGTTTGTCAACTGCCTGTGTCGAAAAACTGTTCTTCAGTAGAATTTGTAGTTCAGATTTTGACTCAGTCTGGGTTGAAGAAGCCTCTACAAGAATGCAATCGTTTTAAGTTAAATTGGTAGAGCGAGTTCTTGTTTCACTTTTGCTAAAAATGCCCATTCTATCCATGTGTCTTGCTGAGCGGACATACATAAAATACATATCATAGACTAAAAAGAGTAAAAACTATATTAGAATTATAAAATATCCTTACAATCAATATCTACAAACTACAGTTGCAATAAGAATACAGCTAGGATGGGTTAAGCGAGATGAGGGTTGTGAAATGCCGGATTAGCATAAAACTAAGAAAGAAAGGCTTCCTTGCTAAACTTGTGGTACCCTAGGAACTTAACTTTACATGGTCGAATTGTCATTTTAAAACCATTAGCCCTCTCCAAACTCATTTATAACACTGCTGTCCTCACTGTCACCCCCACATTTATTCAAAAAGTTAATAAAGCTATTACTCAATTCGTCTGGCAAAAGAAAAAACCAAAAATAAAACAAACTACCCTGATTGGCCCTAAAGAAAAAGGTGGTCTCTCACTGCCTGATTTTGACATAATTAACAATGCTCTCAAAGCAACTTGGATCAGAAGACTAGACAGCTGTCATCCCACCGCGAGTTGGACTCACATTCCTGTTTCCCTGCTAGAGCGAGTTGGTGGTCTCTTTCTCCTTAAATGTAACTTTGAACTTAAACATCTTAACATACACATTCCATTGATCTTTTACGAGAAAGCCTTGTTGGCCTGGCAATCTATAAATTCGTTCACTCCCTCCTCAAAAGAAGAAATACTGAATGAAATCTTATGGAAAACCGCTTTATTAGGATCAACAATTATTCAGTATACTATAAAGCATGGCATGTAGCGGGTGTTGAAAAAATTGGAGATCTCTTCAACGGCCATACCTTTCTATCTCACCAAGACTTCTGCTCTTATTTTGGTCTTAAAACTAATTTTCTTACCTACTAAGGTTTATGCAAAGCAATTCCTCCTAACTGGATTAAAATAATGAAAGGTATAAATTACAACCGCGTTCGAATAAATCCATAAGTATAGATAGAATTCCCGTTGAGAAGCTTTCTTCTAAACTTGCTACCAACTTTTTTTTTGAAAGGAAATTTGTTCCTGCCACCGCCAAAAAAAGACTCAGAAAAGCTAGTTTAAACGAACAGCAAATTTCTCAAATTTACAAGATGCCTTTCAGTGCTACGAAAGACATACAACTCTCAATGTTTCAGTTCAAGATCTTACACCACATCTTACCCACCAACGCTACATTATATAAATTCGGAATTAAAGAACATGACCGCTGTCATTTATGCGCTGAAAAGCAAACAATCACACACCTATTTGTGACTTGCCCCAATGCTCAGCTGTTTTGGACACATTTTTCAGTTTGGTGGCGCGAAAAAAACAACATTGAGATCTCGCTTTCTGAAGCACAAACACTTTATGGCATTACAGACACCGTGCCTCAGTGTCTTGGTTTAAACCTCTACTTGATAATTGCAAAATACTATATTTACACCGCGTCTAAAAATGAGGAAGATTATTTTTTCGACGCTTTTTTGTCTATCCTTAAAAATAAAATACAATTGAAACTAGCAAAGCTAAGGTGCTAAGCTGTAAAAATAATTTTCTTGATTCTGGCTAATTTCACTTGTTTGTTGGCTTTTTTGTTTTTGTTTGTTTGTTATTTATTTATTTATATTTTGTCGTTTTTAGCGTAGTTACTCTTCGTTAATAGATAGTAAGTTAGTAATTAGTTGTATTAGAATTCTTTTTTCATTATTTTGTAACAGACTCCAACTCATCGGCTCCTGTTTTGTAAGCATTATCTTGTAAGTTAATATTATGTAAGTAAGTAGTGATTTAACTTAGCAAGTTATATGTAAGTAGGTATTAAAGCTTTATGTAACTAAGTAAGTACTATGTAAGTAAGTCAGCATTATGTTTGTAAAAACAATAAAAATTTAAAAAAAATAATGAAAAATAAATAAATAAATAAAACTAAGAAATAAAATTAAGTTTCACTTAAGCTAAAATGATCAACGTCATTTTGTCTCGTTAAAGAATGACTATAAATAGCCTTTCTAAATGAGGTTACACATGTTCTTTTCTTAAGGTTAATGGGTAGAGAGTCCCAGAGCCTGGTCGCGGACACGCTAAAAGTTCTCCCTCCCTCAGGTTCACGATTATATCTGGGGCAGACGAGGTTTAAGGCACTGTACCGCCCACCGCGTGTGTGTAAATCTGTATTGCATTTAAGAAGGCTCTGGCGGGAAAACATGCAACCATTGCTTAGCGCGGGAAAACGCGTTAACCCAACGATGTGTCGCTCAGCAAAGCGACACCAGTGCCTAGCAGTTTTGTTGCCCCCGCAGGGATTTCGCCCAGAAGGCGAAATCCCCAGGAGGCACTCTAGTAACTCGCGCGTATATTAAGGAAAGTACTTACAGTTGAAATATACAGTCAGTATGCCAGAAAAAATCTCGATTTACTTGAACAGGGGCCGCAAGGAATCGGTAGGTAAAGATGACGTTTCTATTGTTTGCGCCCGCAAGTACGAAATGGTTAGGATGACGTAAAGACAGAAAATCCCGATGGGACCGCTTAGGTAGATTTTGTGACATTTATTATGCAGTCATACTTCGTTACGTGTTATCAGTTACTGTGGAGCAGTTGTTTTGAACGTTATGGACCCAAACATACTCGTTAAGTGCAGATTCTCTTTGTCAGTGTGATTGGCTGAAAAAATCCGAACAACTCTCTCATCTAATTAGATGTAAAACCAACACCACACGTGACTTCCTTCGACACGTTTTCGCGCGCTTTCCGTCTTCTTGTATTTGCCTTGAGATCTATCTGATCGATAGTCTGTGTCTTGCGATGCTATAGCTGTTAGAACACTTAATTGGACGCTGTTCTATCATCCCAAAGTTATGAAAGTTCAGTCGACTGGTAAAATGTGTTCGTTATAACGGGGCTACGTTTTATCGCGGTCTTGTCCCATATTTCTGTACACCGTTATATGGCCATTTATCAAAGGGATTTTTGTGTATTTTAGCTTATCGACCTCTGTCGCCGTTAATCGTTTAGCTCCGGCTTCAATTTTCGTGACTTACGGACCTTATAGAAAAAGTAGCCCTGATAATTATGTTGAGCATACTAAGATCTAATAAGCTTGAACAATTAAACTCAAGAGAAGCTATTAGTCTTAAGAAAAGGCCAAAAAAAGTAAACGTTTTTATCCCGCGTGGAATCAGATAATCAGTGTTACCTCATCAGTTTTCAAATCTCCGTGTTCAAACCGTCCACACAACGGGTAACCGTACGTTTTTTAAAATTTCCACCCCTGAAAGCGTTTTTGAACAGCTGCGTTTTGAGGTGGCCGTTTTCATCGAAGGAATGTCTACGATAGGGCAAACCGGAAAAATGCCCGTTTTCAAATAAGAACCGACGGTTCCGAGTGGATTGGGCCTTTATTTCTATCTAAATACTACACGTTTGTCAAGATGGCATAAACACTTTATCGAAAGGTCTGCGGAAAAAAAGTGTTTACGACTTTTTTTGACGAGTTTAAGAAGAAATAAATGTAGCGTGGGTATTGGAAGCACCGGTGTTGTACAATCGTAAATCATCATTAATTCCTGCTGAAGAAAAAACGAAACGATTTATGTATACATTAAATCGTGAAATTAAATAACGCGACTATAGGAGCACTACGTACGCAGTTTTTCTTTTACTTAAGTGCGTGCCTGGCCAGTTATAAGAAAAAAATAACTGCAAGCACAGAAAAAATCTTTGTTTGGAAAACTGAAGACTTAAATTAGAAAGTTACAGAGTAACCAAAAAGAAAATATGCAACGAAAAGTTTGGGTATCATCGAAGCCCGTTTCCGCTTATACGGGCCCCGGACGCTATAAAACAGCATTGTTTTTAGGTAGCTTCGCGCGCTTGGCGTGTGCTGCAAGACTCCGATGCCCATGAGGGATGTTCTTTTCCAAAAAATCAACCTATGATTTAACCCAAAATTGCTGATTTATTTCGGCTCTCAATATAAATTTTACTGTGAGTTGTGCCGCTTGTTTAGTATTCTTTGCAAACAAGGAACAATGTAACGAAGCATGATAAATTACAGGAAGTTTTAAGATTGTAAGGAATATATTAAAATTATAGATGAAAAACATGAAAACTTTTGTTTTAACTGAACAATAAAAAAATGTAATTAAATGAATCTGTCAGGGCTTGCACCGGGAAGACAAATAAAACACTTAAAGGGAACCTCCACTTCAACAAAAAGATAACTTTAAATCACAGGAAATAACTGTTACAGTCAAGTCAATCTAAAATATTTTTAAAGAAAGCGTTTGTATCCGAAAGAAATAACTTTTAGATTCGCCTATTTTTGTTTTCAAATTTTGCGGGCGTCGCCATCTTGAATAATTGTGAAAAAATGGTTTATTGAGTTCGTCTGTTGAAAAGAAACAAAAATGCACATTATTCAAGATGGCGGCGCCCGCGAAATTTTGAAAATAAGCGATTTTAAAATTCACTTTTCCTGATATAAACACTTTTTAAAGACAAATTTCGAACAAATTTGTTTATCAACGTAATTTTATTCGATTTAAACTTAAGAAACAAAAATGCACAGAATTCTTTATTGGACGTGAATCACAAACATGCATTGCAGATCCTATAGATGACACCGTTGGCTTTGAAGGTATGAACACATAAGCTGTGTTTCGGTGAAATAAAGTGCAACTTTAAAATAAAGACTTTTTATACTCGAATTTTGTCAAACGGCTGGTAAGTGCGTGAACAAAGTGATTTCAATAGGCCATACCGAACTTGTATCCATGAGTTGTGCAACAAAGAGTAGGTTGGTTTATACACCTTGCACAAGTACGGCGTCTTTTCAGGCCTTCTAGATCAATGCACTTCGGTAGGGAATAATTTTAAAAATAGTGATTTTCCTACGCCCTTTTGAAAACTGATAACTCAAACTTCATAACTAACAGTCACCCCGATTCAGGTGTTCAGGTAGAAATGAGCAGAGCTCTGTTTCGCGC